GTTCCTGGGCTGCATCATCGCCAACTTCCTTATGGTCATGTGCCTCGTTATCATCGACAAAAGGAGGAAGGAGGGCGTAGAGGAGGGGTCTAAAAGCCAGTGGGTGGTTAACAGGGTTGTGTCGCAAGGGAGAGTGGATGGTGGAGGGATGAAGGCTCAAGGCCGCAGGGGCGTGAGTAGGGCTCAGCTGAACGCCATCTTGAAGATAGCCATCCCGGTGGTCTTCGGTGTCTTCGTCATCTTGTACTGCGCTTTCGTCATGAGTGCTCTTAGTGGTTGAAATTTCGGTTGCTTTCACGCTGACACTCAAAGATTTTTATCCATAAACTTACACATGCACACTACACATTCAGTGATAAACATTTACCCACTCCCTACATACGGACACGCACAGACGAATGAGCCTTCATTATCACAAGTAATGAACAATCTATTGTAACACATGTTGCAACCGCTGTAAATGAGGTATTTTGGACGCATTTCATCTGATGTTATTGATATTGACGATGACAACAATAATAACTAGCGTTGGCAGAATCAATTTCTCCTCAATCTACTGTATCCCCCCCAAAAGTTGTTCATGGCTCCGGTATCATAAGCAAAAGTAATTCTTTTTTATAAATGTGGGTGTTTATGCCAATGTGTCGACAACTTAGTAAATATATCCAATTAAAGATTACCGATACTATAAGATGAACTGTTTATCTGCAGGATCCTGTAGGGCCCCCTTTCTCATACGCACATGCGAACACATACTTTTTTATATGCTTCAAATTGAAAATAACAAGATTAAATAGTAAATCAATAAATGAATTAAGAAATATTATAAATAATTCAGTTAACTAATGTATTATTACCATAATGCTTTATGATAACACATATCATAAATATTACGGTAAAGCTTACCTTAATGTTCATGACACAGTTATTTAATAAATACCCCTAATGCTATCCTGTCCCCCACCACCTCATATTGCCTCACCGACCCCCCCCCCCCAGATCTTTCCATTCTGGGAACCAATAGTCTACACTTTACACTCTATAGAAACTAGATCAGGTAGCCAGCCATGCCCAAGGTAGGTACTTCTCACTCCACACCGGAATACAAGTGGTGTTAAGAGCCACTGAAAACAGGAAATCAAAGAGTTCAGTGGAGAAACAGTTTCCATCGGGATATCGTGTGCTTTTGTTCTTAACGGCAAATTAAGACGCGGTGGTTTTGATCTGTTATTTTCCCGGTTTCGTGTTTTACTGATCTCACTATCCCTTCGACACCCAGCGCTGCCCTTTGTACATCATATTGGCCAAGTACACCTCTGATCTGTTCGTCGTTCGCATCAACAAGTACGACTTCAGCGGGAACCGGAGACACCACGCGTACGTCGTTCGTGACATCTTTGTGAACAACTTGACTCTGGATAACTACGCCGCCCAACGCTTGGAGCTCGTCTTACGCAACCAGTACATCTACTACATCAGCGCCGCCTACGTCCCCTCATGCATGTTGCTCATCATCTCGTACTTAACTTATTACTTCGACGTCGAGGACTTCTCCAACCGGGTGACGGTGGCTCTGACGTCCCTCCTCGTCCTGGCCACGCTCTTCTCCGAGCTGGTCGGCGGCCTCCCGAAGACCTCATACTTGAAGCTCATCGATATTTGGTTCCTGGGCTGCATCATCGCCAACTTCCTTATGGTCATGTGCCTCGTTATCATCGACAAAAGGAGGAAGGAGGGCGTAGAGGAGGGGTCTAAAAGCCAGTGGGTGGTTAACAGAGTCGTGCCGCAAGGGAGGGTGGATGGTGGAGGGATGAAGGCTCAAGGCCGCAGGGGCGTGAGTAGGGCTCAGCTGAACGCCATCTTGAAGATAGCCATCCCGGTGGTCTTCGGTGTCTTCGTCATCTTGTACTGCGCTTTCGTCATGAGTGCTCTTAGTGGTTGAAATTTCGGTTGCTTTCACGCTGACACTCAAAGATTTTTATCCATAAACTTACACATGCACACTACACATTCAGTGATAAACATTTACCCACTCCCTACATACGGACACTCACAGACGAATGAGCCTTCATTATCACAAGTAATGAACAATCTATTGTAACACATGTTGCAACCGCTGTAAATGAGGTATTTTGGACGCATTTCATCTGATGTTATTGATATTGACGATGACAACAATAATAACTAGCGTTGGCAGAATCAATTTCTCCTCAATCTACTGTATCCCCCCCAAAAGTTGTTCATGGCTCCGGTATCATAAGCAAAAGTAATTCTTTTTTGTAAATGTGGGTGTTTATGCCAATGTGTCGACAACTTAGTAAATATATCCAATTAAAGATTACCGATACTATAAGATGAACTGTTTATCTGCAGGATCCTGTAGGGCCCCCTTTCTCATACGCACATGCGAACACATACTTTTTTATATACTTCAAATTGAAAATAACAAGATTAAATAGTAAATCAATAAATGAATTAAGAAATATTATAAATAATTCAGTTAACTAATGTATTATTACCATAATCTTTATGATAACACATATCATAAATATTACGGTAAAGCTTACCTTAATGTTCATGACACAGTTATTTAATAAATACCCCTAATGCTATCCTGTCCCCCACCACCTCATATTGCCTCACCGACCCCCCCCCCCCAGATCTTTCCATTCTGGGAACCAATAATCTACACTTTACACTCTATAGAAACTAGATCAGGTAACCAGCCATGCCCAAGGTAGGTACTCTCACTCCACCCGGAATACAAGTGGTGTTAAGAGCCACTGAAAAAGGAATCAAAGAGTCAGTGAGAAAACAGTTTCCATCGGGATATCTTGTGCTTTTTGTTCTTACGGCAAATAAAGAGCGGTGGTTTTGATCTGTTATTTTCCCGTTGTTTCTGTGTGCTACTGATAAGGAAGGAGAGTTTTAAATCAATAAAATCCTTTCTTCTGGACCATGCTGACGTTTTTTTTCACGATTTGAATAATTTGGTTAATATTTCACCTTTAGCAGAGGTTTAATGTGTCACTAATATTAATAGTAATAATGATAATAATAATGATGATGAAGATGATAATAATAATAATGGTAATAATGATAACAATGATGATGATGATGATGTTAATAATGATAATGGTAATGATGATAACAATGATAATGATGAAAATGCTAATAATAATAATGATAATAATAATAATAATGATAATATCTATAATAACTGTAATATTAATGATGATGATATTATTATAATAACAGTAATGATGATAACAATGATAACAATAATCATAAAAAATGAAAATGATAATGATATAAAAGATATTGTTAATAACAATAGCAATAATAATGTCAATAACAATAATAAGGATTATATTGGTAGTAATGATAATGGTGGTTATAATAATAATGATAATGATAATAATAATAACAACAATAATAGTGCTAATAATAATAATGATGATAATAATAATAATTACAACAACAACAACAATAATAATGATAATAATAATAATAATAATAATAATAATGACGATAATTATAACAAGAATAATGAAATTATGATGATGATGATACTGATAATAAGGACAAGACTAATGATAATAATAATAACAATAATAATAATGTAATAATAATGATAATGATAATATGATAACGATAAAATGATGATAGCAATAATGATAATGATAATGAATATAATAATAACAACAATAATAATAATGACAATAAGGTAATAATGATAATATTGATAATAACATCAACAACAACAGCAAAAGGATAATGGTATATCGGTAATAACGTTAATAAAAGAAATAATGATGATAAGATTAATGATTCTAATGCTTATGATGATTAAATGAACATTAATGATGATGATGATGATTATAATTACAACAATGACAGTAAGAAGGATTATAATTATTTTCATCTTTTATTATTTTTTATTTTTTTCATCCTCCTCATTATTATTGTCATTATTTTTATCATTATTATTATTATTATTATCAATATCATTATCATTACTGTTATTAAAATTATCATTATTATTATTTTCATTATCATTATTACTATTATTGATATCATCACTTTCATTATAATTATCATTATTATGAATGCTCTCAGTACCTACTACCATTAAAATCACTACAGTAAAAACACTCGAAACCACTATTGCAACTATTCTAATTGCAATTATCATTACTACACGTGCGCATACGTCAGCAGGTGCTGACTCGGATGAGCTTAGTCCTTACCCACCGTGGTGCCCAGCCACAGCAGTAACCTCCAGGCGACAATTGCAACTTCTCGCGTCTGGGCGGGGCGCGAACCGCCGACCCCTCGGATGAAAGGCCGACACGTTACCATTGTACTAGCCCGGAGGCTTTTATGATGCTTTTTTTTGTCTGATTTGCGAGGCAGAGCCTCGCCCGGGATATGTCCATGAGGGAGGCTAAAGTGCTTTCGCGCCAGTTTTATATATTCAGAGACTGAGGAGTCGACTGTTTTGTTATTTTTACTTTTTTTTTTACACTTTATTTCGTTTCTTATTTCAAAATTCCTTCATTTCATTTTCGAAAGTTGCATTCGAGGGTTTTTGTCCTTTTTCATCGCTTCTTTTGAATCAATACGTTTTTCTCTTTCTCTCGTAAAGGATTTTACCTCATTAGTGATAAATTATTTCGCATTCAAAAGCGCTATGTAATTTTTTTTTCTCTTCCAAATTGCTTTCACTGAATTCCTTGCCTCTTCTTTCTAAGTTCATGAATGATATGTACTTTACAATCTCATTTATTGAATTTTCTTTACCCTTCCAAAAGACTGGAAATCTGGCGTCATCATCATCATCATCATCATCATCATCATCATCATCATCATCATCATCATCATCATCATCATCGTCATCATCATCATCATCATCACAATTATCATCATCATCGTCATCATCATTATTATCAGTGACATTATTATTGTGATTAATATTGTAAGTATCATTATTACTATTA